GTTCACACACACAAACTTACAAAAAAAAAAACTCACACACACGCGCGCGGAGCAATTATAGAGATTACACAAGGAATCACTTACGCAAACGGTCGGAGTAGCAGGCAGAGGGCACGCTGAATTACAGTGATCCTCTCTTTTCTCCGTTCATCGGGATCACGACGGGCAGTCGCTGTTGGGTTTGTATTTTTTGCTCCCCTGCTAATTAGCCGAATCCTAGAGAAAAGGGCGCATCAAGGTGTTCAAAGAAGAGGGACGTATCATCAGGGTAATCATCAGGGACAGACTTTTTTTCGGCATTTCTCCCGATTTTCCCCGCGCACTGCCCACGCGTGGCGGTCTCTCGCTCTGCCGCGCGTTGAGGTCTCCGTTTTCGTGGCAACCTCTCTTCGTGCGTGTGTGTGTGTGTGTGTGTGTGTGTGTGTGTGTTAAACATGCGGGAACGTAAAGAATCACGTCGAATGCGACGAGAAAGCAACAGCGACTGCCGCTTCGCCGATGAGTGGGATGCATTACAATGAAATAATCGAGAGAGAGGGGGGGGACAGAATAAGCAGACTTTTCATTCGAACAATTTATCGCTTTGTGGAATGACACACCCTTTCCGCGTTCGCAATCTGCTGCGGATTTTCTTTGCGACCGTTTCTCTTCCTCCCGTGATTTATGTCCGCGTGATGAGAGATGTTGTCAAATCGTCACCGCCGATGAAGGACAGGGGAAGAGAGAGGCAGGTGATACACAGCCAGTCCCGTTGCCTACTCAGTGAGAAAGGGGAAAATAAAGTAGAGGTATCATCGCCCAAAAAACTTTAGTAAGCCCGCAGATAGCCCTCTATAGATTTTTTAAAAAATCTTAAAACAAGCATTGCGTGGTTGAGGACTAGAACGGCTGTGGACGGCAGACGGCCAAAGTTTCCTTCGTTTTCTTCAAACTCCCTGACGTTTCCCTCCAAAACTGAAACGAAGGCACTGGCCCGTCCGGCACTTTCGTTCTCACTCGCAGAGGGCAGAGGTGGCAGTGCTGCCACCCTGCTGCCACCTTGCTGCCACTGCCACAGGGTGGATGAGTTAATTAGTGTGGGCATCCTTTCACATGCCAGACAATATGACGGTCGCTTTCGTTCGATGGTTCGATTTGGAAACGGCTGAATGACGGCTGTCTTGAAGACTGAGTCGTACAGATGAGCTGTCTGTCTGTCTGTCTGTCTGTCTGTCTGTCTGTCTGTCTGTCTGTCTGTCTGACGACTGGCCCCAGTCAAGGACGGCGGCCTTCTCCTGCTCGGCTGGGTGTCATTGCAAGGCACACGCCCCTTTCTCCACGACGGGGATTCTAAATTTCTTCAAAACGTCTCTGTCTCCTGGGGATAAACCAAACGAATTCGGGCAGGCCTGCCTTCGTGTAGTGTAAATGGGGCCCGAGTTATGGCCGACGGATCGGGGCACTGGTGACGTACTCCAGTCCGGCTCGTGAAAGTGGCGGGTGGCGCGGGTCGCGTCGTGGGTGGGTCCGCGGCGTCCGCGACTTGGCCCGCGCCGCACTGCGGGCCAGAAGGCCGGCGCCGGCGGCCAACACTCTAGACGCGTTTTGAGCTCCAGAGTCGCTAAATGGGACTCGAACCGAGCGTGTGACCCCACCAATGGATTCCTCGTTCACTGTTAAAAAAATTTACTGAAAATTCATAATTTTTTGTAAGAAGTCGATTTACTTACATTCAGTCTGAATTTTCATACCAAAACTTTCATACTTCGCGGTCTGAAAGTTTCTGACGACGTTAGTCTGAATTTTCAGATCAACATGTTGTATGAAAAATGATACCAGTCGGTCTATTTTATCAGACCAAGTTGTACGAAGAATATGAACAGTCGCACTAAACAATGCCACTCTGTAGAGTAGAGCTCAAATCGGCGAACTTTTGCCATCGGTTTATCGCAGACGCTCAGCGGATCGTCCCGGCTCAAAAATTAAGTGCACGGCAGCAGGCTCCTTCTTGCAAAGGAAGAGAAGAGGCTAGAGGTGACTGCTGAATTGCGAGAGAGAGCGGCCTTAGCCCAACCACGCACCGACCCGTGGCCATGCGCGAGAGTGAAATTGTATTCTTTGTTATTTAGCTTATACTGCACTTATTAACCTGAATCTTGCTTTGGTGCGCTCATGCCCTTTTAGACAATCACTTGGAATAAGTTTGTAACAAAATATTCGCGATTTCGCCTTCAAGAGGCAATTTTAGCTCCAAAAGATCATCCATGCGACACTAGCGCCACCTAGCGGATAGAGCAATAAGTGTCCATTTCGGAGCTCTGAAACATTCTCTATGCTTTTACGGCACTAAACGTAAATATTATTTGAAATACAACAGTAGTATTGATAAAAGTTCTGAGAAAATCGAAAAATGTACAAAGGGGACGGGTTTTTTTCACTCGTTTTCCGATTTCACAAGTATGAATTTAGTTTTCGGACGACAATGTACAAAACTTGATAGCCATCGCTCTAAATATTCAGACTTGCTAGTCTAAATTCAAATTTCAGACATCAGGTCACACTTTTCAGACAGTTGGTCTTAATATTCGTACCATTTTATGAATTTACGATTCAGACCACCAAGTAAGACGAAATCAGTCTGAATTTTCATATTTTTTTTAACAGTGTTCTGAGAGCAATCCATTGGTGGGGTCACACGTTCGGTTCGGACCCCATTTAGCGACTCTGGCTCTCAAAACGCGTCCGGGGTTTTGACCGCCCCCGCCGGTCTTCTGGGGTGCCGCGCCGTGCCGCCACTTCATCGCCAACTGCTAAAAGCGAAAATGGAACCAACACGGCGCGGAATCCTTGCGACATGAGGAAGCACCACCGCGGCGGCGGCGCAAGACAACCAACTGGATCTCCTTTTTTTTTTCACAGTGGGTACCAGTTGTTGCCCGATTTGACTCCTTTTTTTTTCATCCCACAAAAACACTCGCTCGGATTCGGGTAGGGTGTTGGCGGATCGCGTGCCTCGCCTTCGACGCCCCCGCCTGCGGTGCCTGTCTCCGCGCGACCGAAACGGCCAGGGTCTAGTCTAGGAGGTCTGGGGGAACAGGGCGTGCTCCGAGAGCGACACGCCACCTTCTGCTGGCCGCGCACAGTGGGCCAGAAGGCTAGTAGAAGCGGCCAAAACTCCAGACGCGTTTTGAGCTCCAGAGTCGCTAAATGGGACTCGAACCGAACGTGCGACCCCACCAATGGATTGCTCTCCTCACGAGGAATCCATTGATGGGGTCACACGTAAGGTTCGAGTCCCATTCAGCGACCCTGGAGCTCAAAACGCGTCTAGAGATTTGGCCGCCTCCACCGGCTTCTGGCCCACTGTGCGGCACGCTGCGGCATGGAGCCGGTTAGGTTCGGCCGCCGCCGCGGGGACCGGCGGGGACCGACGGGGACCTCGTGCGCGTCGACCTGCCAAGGGGCGCCTCAGGTTGCAGCCCACGGATCACGCGATGAGAGAGAGAGGTAAATACATGCACACACACACGCACACAGACATGCGCGCGAACGTGGCCGCGCGTCCTGACCCGCAGCCCGTCCGAGTGCTGCTCGCGGCCTCATCAGGCAGCAGCACCCCTTGCGTAATTTGTTTTCCCGACGACGAAATGTTCGAAAGGAGATTCACCCAAATGATTCACTCGACATGATTTTTTTTTGCGTGGGTCCATTGGCATGCATTTGGGGCAGTGTCAGTCAACGTGTTTTATGCTCCAGAGTAGCTACAATGGGACTCGAACCGAACGGATGGATTCCTCGTTCGGAGAGCAATCCATTGGTGGGGTCACACGTTCGGTTCGAGTCCTGTTTAGCGACTCTGGAGCTCAAAACGCGTCTAGAGTTCCGGCCGCCTCCACCGGTCTTCTGGCCCACTGTGCCCGGGGTCAGCACCTCGGCGGCGCTCCCGTTGTTCCGCGAGTGGGAGTCGCCGCTGTATTTGTACATGATTCCGGTTGTCCTTTCTCCGTGCCATACGCAGCAGCCTGCTGTTGTTGTTGTTGTTTTTGCTGCTGGCCTGGACCACTCTCACCCGGACAGGCCGGCAGATGAGTCCGACATGGCCCTGCAGCCACACTGCCGTGCCGCGGCGTGGGCGAGACGTAACCGGCTGGGGGGGGGGGTTGTCCCTGGATGGACCGTGCAAACACCAAACACTCAGTGGTAAAACTAAAGCGCAACTGTGTGCTTGAGTTTAGCAAATAGTTACGCTCGAGGATGTTGTTTTCTTCAGTTCCTTTCAAGCTTCTCACATTCAAATTGTGACTACAAGTCTGTGCCATGAAATTGGGTGATATTTAAGCCTTAAATGACCAAAATCACACTCACGAGTCAGAATCTAGTGTTCCCAGTGCAGCCTTGGCACTCACTGGAGTCGGCAGTCTTGAAGCGGAGTGTACTCTATTAACTTAACGCCGGTTTTACATCGCCCCTCGCCTCCCGGATCGAGACTCGAAGATCGAGGCTCGAAGATCGAGGGTGGCAAAACGCGGCAAAATGTCACGGAGCGAGCAGGCGTGCGAAATCAGCAAGCAGCCGGGAGCTGGGATTCTGGAGATGTGTGCACTTACTGGTGAGCGGCGGCGGCCCACAGTGGGCCAGAAGACCGGTGGAGGCGGCCAAAACTCCAGACGCGTTTTGAGCTCCAGAGCCGCTAAATGGGACTCGAACCGAACGTGTGACCCCACCAAGGGATTGCTCTCCGAACGAGGAATCCATTGGTGGGGTCACACGTGCGGTTCGAGGCCTGTTTAGCCACTCTGGAGCTCAAAACGCGTCTAGAGTTTTGGCCGCCTCCACCGGTGTTCTGGCCCACTGTGCGGCCCGCGGCTAACGCAACCTGTCGTGGCGTGCCGCGCCGTGCCGCGCCGTGCCGCGCCGCCCAGCCGCCCCCACCCCCTGGCCGAGCGGTGGCTGCCCTGGCTGTGCGGTGCCGCTGGCTGGCGGCGTCGGCGTCTTGCGGCGTCTTCAGCAGTTCCCCAGCGAGCGCCCTGAGACTCACTCCGTTGCGCCAGTCAAGCCCACCGCCCGACCGGCTCGGCTCGACTCGACCCCACGCGCCACGACCTGCCCGGCTCGGCTTGGCTCGGCTCGGCTCGTCGCGACTATGTCGTCCTGGTGTCAGACGCGATTCAAGTGACCGTTGGATTAAAACACGACCAGTGCTGTGCTTGTGTCAGTGAGAGTGTGAGTGCACCGAGTGTGTGTGAGTGTGGGTGGAGTGAGAGAGCCAGCAAGTGTTGCCATCCAGGATACCGCCCGAGCGCAGAATGCATCTGTCCGTGTTAACGGTAAGGTTCAAGTCCAATGCCAGATTCATCGGTAATTAATGCTTAGTACCCACATAAGGGCAAAAAAGATGTCCAGCTCTTGGAAATTTTTTTTTTTGGAAAACTTTGAACACCATGCGTTTGAAAACTGCAACAAGTGTTGAGACTGTTTTCCAGCCATTGACAATGAAAGAGTTGTGATCATCGCCATAAATTGGGCGAGTTTGGATGTGGATTTTTGTTTCACTCAAATTTGGGTGATGCTACGTCGAAACCAAATGGTGTCTCTCCCCGAAATTCGGGCGAGGAAACTTGCCATACTACTCAAAATTGGTCGATTGAGGCCTTCCCTCACCTCAATCTAGATGGTAAAGCTCGCCCAAAATTGCCGTCATGGTCCTGACCCTTTCTTTCTCAGTGCGTGATGGCGCGCTTTGCACGGACACTGCAGACTGCACGGTCCGGCCGGCCTGTCGATTGAAGGCTTCTTTTTGGTCGGAGCGCCTCACCGTGGGCGCCTCCGTCACAAAAGATCCACCCAGTGCGAGTGAGAGTGGCTTCGACGGCTGGTCATCGGCGTGGTGAATGGTGAACTCGTCCTTGCCGCCATTCACGGCCTTCACCATGGCCAGCAGGAGCCACTGAAGGAACAACCAATCCGAAACTGCGACTGGCAAACTGCTCCTGATTCGGAATTTAGCTGAACACGTGTTTTGCGTAAGCCGCTGTGCTAGAAAGCTCATGTTCAAAAGGCCGTTCTGTGAAATTCGCGATGTGCTTTTCTCAGCGAGGATCTTCTCGTGTGGGCGTAGCGTAGTGCGCGCCGTGACCACTGCACTACACGGGTTACCCAACATCTCATTCACTTTTTTCCCAAGCGAGGGGCGAAGACGTTGCCGACACACCGTGTGCACACGAGCTTCTCGCGAATTAGGCGAAATGACACACGAGCAAGAAGCATTTGAACGCGGCTACATTTTGTCGAATGAAATGAAGAAACATTTCCTGTTGTGAAAGCCGGGCTGTGTGTATAAGCTGTCACGACGCGGTACCTGGCCGGACGGTCCCTATCTCGTTTCATCTCATCCATAGAGAAGTCCGGCGGTGCACTTGTCCGCTCGTCCGTCTGTTCGTCCGTCTGTTGGTATCTCACGAGCATTAGCGCACTCACACGCACACACAGCTCACACACGCACACACGCACACACACGCACACATGCCGGTTTGGTTCCATCTGACCGAGTACGTGTCCCGAGGCTTGCTCCAGTGACCTGGAGACGAGCAAGCGTGCACCTCACGCACCTCATGAGTCTGATTACCCTCGGAAGATGCTTCTTTCCCAAACTTGGATGTCGTCGTTTTTCACCTCTTTTTACTGTGTTGTTACGCGCTTCCTTGATTGGGGTCACAACAGCCCCAGCGGAACGGCCGGGACGCACCCAAGGGCAGTGAATTCGTTTTTAAATCTCTCGGGTTTTTTGAGTTTTCCTTATCGTGCTGTCTGTTTATTGTGCGTTCCGAGAAGTGTGAACTGCCGTCCCCGAAAGGGTTGCCGGCCCCTTAGGGCCCTGTGGCTGCAGCCTTGTAGCCCTTTTACCCTTTGCAGGTGTGTCAGGGTCAGACAAGGGTGCTTAGTAATGAATGGCTTCCGTTGCCCTGGCAACCAGGTGGCGATCAGGGGGCAACCAAAATGCCTGTCCCGTTACGCCGCCCGGAGGAGCATCAAAACATGTTTCAAAATTAGCATCCAGCGGGCTCTCCGCCCCACAGACCCCGTGCCGCCTCTGCAGTAGTATAGACGCCCCATTCTAACACGCGCCATTTTGGTTGGCCATCCTCGCTGAAGGTTAGCGTAGGTTAGGGCATGTTAGAACGCGGGATAAAAATGGGGCATCCTTACTACTGTCTTGTTTGCAGAAAAGACTTGGAGGCATTGCATTCGAATCACTGTGCTCATTGAGTCCACCTGGTGTTGCGCCCAGTCATGGTCCACAGTCAAGTCAAGTCGCAGGTAGGCCTGCCGGCGCCCCCGAATGGAGCAATTGCGGGTGATTCACTGCGTGTACACAATGTATAGGTCAGGCTGCGTGGCTGGTCAGTGCTGGTATGGCTAATGCCGTTCTGCAGGTAACACCAGGTAACTGCAGGTAAAGGTGAGGCCGTATTGTCGAGGAGGCCCCCTGCTGTTTTCCTCCTCCTCCTTCTTCTTCTTCTTCTTCTTCTTCTTCTTCTTCTTCTTCTTCTTCTTCTTCTTCTTCTTCTTCTTCTTCTTCTTCTTCTTCTCCTCCTCCGTCTGCTGGCCTGCCTGACCGTTTGCGGCTAGCAAACGCGTAAACTGTAGCGAGCCAGCACGCAAACAGGATCACGCCGTTTTCATACACTTTTTTTTTTCTTCCGTTCTGAAAGAGGCCTGCAGCGAATATTCATATTGGCGCTTTCTCTGCTTTGGGCTTCGCCGGGGCTTCGCTAAGCTTCGCTGCTGTGCGTCACTGGACGCACTGGACTGTGAGTCTGCTGATTCAACAACAACAACTCAGCCATCACCGAGTTTGTAGGCGAGGGAATCGCAGACCACCGCCGCGTCGCTTGTACTATACCTGTGTCGGCCGGCGGTCGGCTTTTATAGTGTGACTTGCCCACGATATTGGGTCAGGTGGGGAAGGAGGCGGTGCACTGGCGGCGGTGCGGTGTCCCTCAATTTGTAGCGAGCACACACGAAAAATGGTTCCGACGTGTGTGTGTGTGTGTGTGTGTGTGTGTGTGTGTGTGTGTGTGTGTGTGTGTCATTGCCCCGCTTTCTTTGGCGGCTTGGCCGGGCATTCAGTGCCGACTTTGCCGCCCAGCGGGAAATGCATGGACGTCTTCCAAAGGATCCCTATGCCCCAGTCAGCGCACCTGCGCGTCGGTGTGTACACGCCTTCTCATACACTGTTAGAAGTTCCTCTTTCAGTGTAGTTCATCTCCCCGTGGCTCGTGCCTCGCGCTATCGGGTTGATTGAGCCAGTCTGCGGTGGCCAGGCAACCACACCATTACGTAGATACGCCAGCCTTATTAATTAACACTAACCACTTTTTTGATTTTTTTTTTCTTCCTGTGTAGGTTACTCTAGCATAAAATATGGCGCGGCGCTTCCGCTTTGCTGATGTTTTTTGTTGTTGTTTTTTTTTTCGGATTTGGCGCGGTGCTTGGCTTTGGCGACTTTTTGTCTTTCCCCGTAAACCAGTCCCGAGTGTGTTTTGACTGCTTTCGAAAAGTGAAAATGTAAGGTGCAGCGTCTCGCCTCCCTCGCAAGCCTGCACTGCAAAAGCAGGGCAAAAGCCTGCACCCGCAGCACGCACCGTGGCCGCGGACGGCAGCACGGCAGCGGCACGCGTAGGCATGCTAATCACGAATTAGAAGGTGTCAATGAAAGCGGGCTCTCGGTGCGCCGGCTTTCCAAGCAGCGCTCGCGAAAAGGGAGCGTGTGGTTTACTTTGCTTTTACGGAAGAAAGCCGCAGCGCTCTCCGAAAAAAAATAAGCTTTTTTTTGAACGAAGTTAACGACTCCAATAAAGTAATTAGCGTATTTTTTAAAAAAATTGCAGTTTGTTGGGAAGCGACTGAACTCTCAATGAAATGGAAAGCATTTTGTATCGCGCTCTGCTCTCGCTGGCTGGAACAATCCCGACCTAGAGAACGGAGTTCCGAGTGTATGGTCCGGGCATTGTACTGGAACATCTGATGGATGCCTACTTGCACTGGATCTCCAAGTCTCCTGAGCGAATCATCCTCTCAGTCGGGGCAAAAAAAATCGCTGCTGCCCTGGAGAAATTAATGTCAGGCTTGTGATTTCCCCGATGGTGGATCAGCCTTTGTTCCAGAGCAAGCCGCCTCGCCTTGCCGCCCGCCTCGGTTTCACAGTGCATGCTTCACATGCGAAGGTCTGGTTCAGCACGCCTTGCCTGTCCTGCTATGCGCTCCACTGCTCCAGATCAGGACTAAGAATTCGCAAACGGTCTGGAAATGACCATGAGATAAAAAGGCCCCCCGCACTTAGAGTTTCAAAAGCTCGTTTCTAGATTTCAAGCCCTGAAAAGTTAAGGGAACTACTGCGAGGACTCGATCGTGAGTCTGAAGTTTCAAGGATGAACTCGTTTGCACGTTTCCATGGTCCAGTCTTTGAAAAATTCGACAGGGTGATTTGCATGCATGCATGCAAATCACCCTGTCGAATTTTTCAAAGACTCATACGGGATTCGAACTTGCGACCTTAATGCTGGGAAACTGTGACTTTACCCACGCGGCTGCCTTGAACCTTATCTCAGCGCCCTGTCCAAGTGCAGAGTGAAAGTGTTCCATGTCGTGTGAACGTGGCGGGGCGTGGCGGGCGTGGCGGAGCGTGGCGTTGTGTCGGCCTGCACTCGCACGCCCACGCAGAGCGTCGCAGAGCGTTGCAAAGCGTGCTCGCTTAGCGGGCTCAGTATTGGCAGCCGTAACCCGAACCCGCCGTTGCAGGGCGTTGCAGGGCGTTGCAGGTTGGCTGCAGGGCCCGGAACACGCGGCTGTGACTCCAGACCACGGTGCACTTTCTAGGGGTCAACTTCCGAGTTTTCCCGATTCTCAAACTCCCTAGTGGTCCTTGTTTTTTTTTTTTTTTCTGGCGACGGTGACTTTAAAAAAAAGGCAGGCGACGACTCTGGAGGCGTTTCACCGCCGACCCGAACACGACCCCCGCCTCTGCTTCCAAGTTTCCTCGGGTCACTCCGGTCACTCCGAGTCGGAGACGAGTCGGCCCGACTTTGAAAGTGCCGCCGCACAGTGGGCCAGAAGACCGGTGGAGGCGGTCCAAATCCAGGACGCGTTTTGAGCTCCAGAGTCGTTAAATGGGACTCGAACCAAACGTGTGACCCCACCAACGGATTGCTCTCCGAACGAGGAATCCATTGCACAGTGGGTCAAAACGGTCAAAAGTGCGAAAAAAATATTTTATTATTGAAATCGACTCAGTTCGACCCCAAAAGACTACCAACCAAGTATTTTG